AGTCTTAGATTGCCGTGTCCATTGGTTTTATTAACCTGAAAACATTGGTGGCAGCCATCTTCCTTGTGCTCATCTGCCATAGACAGCATTGTCCTCACTGCGACTTAGTCTCAATCAAGACTGCCCTTGACATTTCTATCATCTTGTTTTCTTTGCCAACACTTTCGCCTCAGGTCCTGGGAGCAAAGTAAGGTGCTCAGAGACTGTTTACTGACTTTTTCTCCTCACGTTATTTTATCAGCACAGCAGAGAGCCGATTCCTCCTTGTTTGTTTGTATTTGTCTTTGTTATGTTAACATGGACAGAGCTAACTGAACGGGGTAGAGTCTGAGCGAGACTGTTGCGAGATTCTGGCTTGGCATTCAATTACTGAGGACTCCTTTTCCCTCTGCCACTCAATTAGTGAGATGACCTTGGACAGGCTATAGCAGTTGATTCTTGACATCCACAACTATAAATGGAGGTTTGGGTCCAAGTGCCCTCCAATGTCTGATCGTTTTGTGAACCCAGGGAGGTCTCAATATTACCATTCTTTTCAGGCTCATGAAAGAAGGGTCTGACCTTCAGGCATTCTGCACTGAAATGATGCTTTTACATTTTTGTGGTGGTCAGATTTTGATTGCTCTACCAAAATACCCTATGTAAACAATCTAAATGGGACAGTAATTTATTCAGGCTCTGGCTTTCAGAGGTGTCATTTTGTAGTCCTGGGTTCTGTTGATATTGGGTCCTTCAGCAGGTAAAGCATCATGGTGTGGAAGCATGTGAGAGAGTCTACTTACCTTGTGGCACACAGGGGGCAGAGAGAAAGGAATGTAAGAAGGGGCCATACACAGCCCCTCCAAAGGCATGTCCCCAGTGACTCACCTCTTCCTTTACCCGACAGCCTCAAAATGTCCACAGATTATGATCTATCAAGGGATTAATGAGTTGATAAAGGAATATTCCTCAATAGCCAAACAGTTCCCCCAAACCCATCATCCGAGGCTACAGGAGACATTCTCTATTCAAACCGCAACACGCTAAATAGGACTCTGTCATTTTCAAAGCATTTCCCATGTCATGTGATTGAAAGCAGGCATGTAAGGTATCAGGACACGAGTAATTTCAAGGCTGAGAAGCTCTGACAGTTGCCTAATGTCACCAAATGAGAGAATAGGAAGTGACATATGTATGGACCATCTTGACTACAGGTTTGGCACAATGAAATTAGGTAGTATTGAGTGTGGGAGTTTGCCTCCAAAAAAAGGATTCTCTACTTGAAAGAAAATACTACATAAGCTCCAAGGGAGGGAAACAATAGTCCTATCCAGCTGCAATACCTATGAACCACAACAATAACCAGCCTGGCAAGATAGGTATAATAGCACAATAAGCGACACTCAGATGCTGGTGGCAACCCAAACCTGTCTAATTGGATTAAGGGCCCACTCAACAAGAAGGAAATCATGCCTGGTATTGGAAACCTAGACAGCTTCCCAGTGCGAGCAGCAAAATTCCTTCCTACATTCTAAATCTTATACCTACAGAGAAATGTAAATACCAATCATCGTCAAAGAAGCCTCTCTTTACAGCAAATGGAACATCACAGAAAACCACAAATGGACACAACTCAGAGATCAACAGGTCATAGGGAGCCCAGCCCCAATGGATCAACTACATCACAGCTCCTGCACCTATGGGTCAGAGAACAGTGCTGAAAAGGGGGTGGAAAGATTTTAAGTGCCAGAATACCAAGAAGTCTGCTGTGAAATAGTCTCTCCTAGAAATGGCTGCATAAACAAGGATGGAATGAGGCCAATATCCATGAAGATGGTAACATGGAGGGGGAAGTTTTCTAGGTATCTCATCCCTAGTCAAAGAACTTCAGGTAACTAATGGCCGCTGGAAATAGGATAATTAGCCTCTCCCAAGGGATGAACCCTCTTATTGGTTTTCTAATGCACAGTGATTAGCCCCCAAACCATGTATACACAAACAACAAAAATCGACTGAACAAGTTGTCTTTATATATATTTGTGCATACACACACACACACACACACACACACACACACACACACACACACGTAATGATAACAATCAAAGAGGGTACCAACTTGAGAGGGGGGCACTGGAGGAGTTTAAGGGTATCTGGGAGGGTTGGAAGGAGAAAATCAAGGAGGGAAAGTTATGTAATTCTATTCCAATTAAAAACAGAGTTTAAAATATTAATGGTAATATTGAGAACACTGAAATTTAAAGTATGCCCCATGTTCAGTTACATTCTTCTTTAGGTATAAAGATCAGGAAAGTTCTCAGGATAGCTCAGCTGAGGAAGGGAAAGACTTCAGTGTCCTGTGCTTCTAGATAAAAGGCAGTGAGTCTCTAGATGATGGGGAAAAATACACACACACACACACACACACACACACACACACACACACACACACACACTGTACTCAGGATTTCATCATCTAATTTTCTTTTGGGATTTCCAAGACCTTTCTCTCTACCTGAAGAATGGCTTTATCCATTTACTCATGATTTCTGATTTCTAGAACCATGGTACTCACATGGATTGGACTCCTTGGTACCAGCTCTGGCCAGCTGATTCTAACACATATCTGCATCCCCACTCACCCTCACTACTGTTGATTTGCTCCTTCCTCATTCTGGTGCTCCAGTGTTTGGGGACTGCTGGGCTGAGGTTGGAAGGAACCATGTGGCCTCCACATAAACGTCTATCTACTCTTTTAGAGACTAAATATTTGTGTGTTTGTGCCCCCACCTCCCACTCTTGTCCCGAAGCCTCAATGTGCTGGGAAGTGGCAGAAGTTTCTTTGGGAAGAAATTCAGCTTAGATAAGGTCATAGGATAGCCTCTATGATTGGATGAGTAATTTTATGAGAGAAAGAAACCAGAGCTCTCTTTCAGACATTCACATGGGAGCATAGCTAGAAAGCAGTCATCTGCAAGCCAGGAAGAGGAAGAGTCCCAGCTGAACCTGACCATGTTTTCAACTTAATCTCAGCCTTTAGACTCTGAAACTGAAAAGGGAATGCCTGTTGGTCAAGTCACCTAGTCTATTTCACTTTGTTACAGCGGCCAGAGTTGACTAAGACACACATTCGTATCAGGACATAGTGACAGGTTTCTAGGGGATTCTTTAGACCAAGAAAGCACCAAAAACTTATCCAGTACACCAACTCTTTTATTTCTAAGCTTTCCAGTGTCCTCTCAAATATCCTTTTCTAAGGTGCCTCCAATTTTCATAAGTATAATTAGAAAGTACTTATCATCTGACAGTTCAGGAAAAAACAAAGACTAACACACCCACATTTGTCCCTTAATTTAAAACAGGAAGGGGAGTTGTATGCTTCTTTTTCTTTTTGATCAAAAGGGGTCAGGGGGAAAAAAATACTAGACTAGCAGGGTGCTTTCAGATCCCAAACTTGACCTTATCAGTGATTTCTGCACAGATCATTTGCTGCCCTTGAAATTCAGGAGGGTGAATCTTACAAACCTAAAAGCTAAAAGGGATTTTACAGGATTATCTAATCTAGCCACTGCGTTTACAGCAAAAGTCATTGGCATAGAGTCTTAGGTCACAGAGCTGATTAGAGGTAGAGCCAATGGAATATTTTTCCCAAGCCAATGTTTGTGATCTTTTCATTACATCATTTTTTCCGGAGCCTGCCGAGGCTTACTCTGAGAACCAGAGATAATGCCTGTGATAATGCAGCATAAAGTGGTGGCTAAATGTAAAATATTATTTTAAGATGAGAATGTGGAATGGGGATAAAAGACTAGAGTCTTCATGATGTGTGAAATAACCCATAAATGTCCCGATTCTTGTCCTGTAAAAAACTCACATAGAAGCCAAAGATCCCAATTCTGTCACTGCAACAAATTAGAATCAGAAAATAGAGATGAGGACGTTCCCACTGCCAGATGGCTTGGGAACATGGGTGAGTGTGGACTCTGGTCACAGACTGTCTATCTAAGGTGGGCTCTACATCTTAACGTGGATCGTAGTTTTACTTAGGCAAATGTATGCCGTTTAATAAACTTCTGCTTTGGGTCAGGCTCTGCTGTTACACTTGCTTCTGTCGCTGTGTATAGGTAAGGTAAGGAGGTGACCAATACTCTAGCTTCATTCTGAGCATCAATGTGGCTTATATTTGTTGAATTCTTAGAACAATGTCTAGAACAGAATAAGCTTTCTGTTGGGACAATCGGACACTATTCTTTGGAGATCAGGCAATCTACACTCTCAAATGGCTAGGTTAGGGTTATCAGTGAGCCATTAAGAAATTAGGGATGGACACAGGTACGTCTATAGTGGTAGTGTCAGCTTTATCGGAATCACACAGACATCTCAAAGTCTCATTGTTGTTTGCTGGCAGGAAAACAGGTTTGAGAAGGTTTGGAAGTTGAGTCCATCATGGTTTATGGCAGAAGAGCCATGTGAGTCTTACATCAATAAAGGAAGACTTCTGCACTAACCAAGTTCTCTCATCCCTGGGAACTTATAAAAAAAAAAAGGGGGCGGGCACCGGGGAGGAAGAGGAGCATACCCTGTCACTCCTCCAGGCCAGGGTCACACTTGGCTTGGTGGCCTTTTCCCCCATACAGCTCAAGCCTGGCTGACAAATCCGCATCCACACGGCCGGCCGGGAACCCAGCAGCCTGTGGCCCGCGCGGCATCTTCCGGGCCTCCCGGCGAGTTCATTCAAGCCGCGGGAGCAACACTTTGAGTCAGAGATCAAGGCCGGACAGGGCACGGGGCGCGAGGCGCGCTCCCTCCGGGAGAGGCGACCTGAGACCCACCCGCCCGCAGGACCGCCCCAGTTCCCGGAGGAGGCGTGGCCTAGCGTGCCGCCATCTTGGCGGCCTCTCTAGGCGCTCTGTTTACCACTCTATGGTCGCGCGCTCCCGCCCCGCCCCTCCCCAGTCATTGTCTGGTGGAGCAGCCGCGGCCGCAGCGCCTTCTCTTTATAAGCCGCAGTGCCCGGATGTGAATGGATTACAATGTATCTTTCAGGGAAACCTATTATTATCAATGTGACTCCTCGGGGGAGTCAATGATGGTGTTGAGGAGGAGGAGGATGATGAGACGCCTCTAAACTTGGAACAAGTTTAGGACTTTGAAAGAAGAGAAAAAAAATACAACCAACAAGACTGAAGAACAATTATAACTCTCCTGTGTTGATTATTTTTTATAAACGATAAGAAAAAGTTGTTGGATTTTTTTTTTAATGGTTACTTTTTTGGGGGAGGGAATTTTGTTACAGTTTTACGATGGAAAATGCAAAAGCCAGAGCCAGGTGCATAATCTTGTAATCTGTGGCTAACCCTGGAACAGGACTGACTACTACTTAAAATACTCTTTTGGGGGATACACATGTGAGACACTAAGTACTTGCAGAAGATTTTTGTCTCTCTTTTTTAAAAAGTCTCTTTCCTTGGAATATTGTGAGCATATTTGTGGCCATTGAAGGTAACGTTACAATTTGCTGTCAGAGTAAACTGTTTGTAATTGAACGGAATTTTTAGAATGTTGATCCCAATGTTTTATTCAAACAAAAGGAACAACCTATTAAATAATTGCCAATGGGAAAACGTGTGTGCATGCATTTCGGTACGTACTCGCACATCTAGCAATACCAGGGTTGGGCAAATGTGTTTTATTAACATTAAAATAGTGAATGTTGCATATACTGGGTAAAGCACGCATGTGATTACGAAAAGATAATTTGGAAGCTTAATTTTTATCCTAAAAAGTGATGGGGAAAAGTGTGTTTTAAGAGCATGTAGGGCCTGTAGTGGTAAATGTTGAGTTGAAAACTTGAAGTGCTGCCGAGCGCGGACTTGGAGTGCCTAGGAACTCAAGTGTAAAAACAAAACCATATTCATTCCCTAAAATTACCTTGTTTTTTTTTCCCCCCCTTTTTAAAACAAAGTTTGCAGCTATACGATTCAGTGGGTTAAAAGGGCGAAAGGAAGAAAGTCTGCGATTCAGGTTTCACCCCCAACGCAAAACTACCCAAACAAAATATCTCCCTAGCAAAATGTGGATGGGTTTCTGTATGGAAAAGAAAAATATTGTTCGTCTTGGCAAAGTCTTTATGCATCACGTGTATTTGCAGCAAAGCAAAACTTGCTTTGCTCTGTGTGTGTGTGTGTGTGTGTGTGTGTGTGTGTGTGTGTGTGTGTGTGTGAGAGAGAGAGAGAGAGAGAGAGAGAGAGAGAGAGAGACAGAGAGAGAGAGACAGACAGAGAGAGACAGAAAGAGAGACAGAGAGACACACACTGAGAGAGACACACAGAGAGAAGTGAGGGGATGTAAACTCGAATCAATTTCAAAGTGCCTCCGATGGATGAACCCGGCAAACCCTGAAACTGTTCAGGCTTCAGATTGTTAACTGGCCATCTGAGGGGAAAAAAAATGAGGTGCTGGGTGAATTTTCCTTGGTGGGTTTTATTTTATTTATTTATTTATTATTTCTTCTTCTTCTTCTTATTTTTTACCGCGACGGGGGAGGTGTTGGGATTTTCTTTTTTTTTTTTTTCCTGGGGTGTGTGTGTGGGGGGGTGGTGTTTCCCAGGCAGCCCGGCCCGGAGCGCCGCGTCTCCCCGCCGGAGCCCCCCCACCCATTTCTTTGCTGAACTTGCAATTCCGTGCGCCTCGCCGTGTTCCCCCTCCCCCCCTTCCCTCGTCCCCTCCCCTCCCGGGAGAAGAGAGTTGGTGTTAAGAGTCAGGGATCTTGGCTGTGTGTCTGCGGATCGGCGGCGGCGGCGGCGGCGGCGGCGGCGGCGGCGGCGGCGGCGGGGAAACCGGAGCGGGCGCGGGTGCCGGCCGTTGGAAGAGGTGGTGGTGGTGGTGGTGGTGGTGGCGGCGGCGGCGGCGGCGGCGGCGGAGGCAGGGGGATAGACATGACCGCCGCCTGGGCGCCGGCGCTGCACCGGGAGCCCCTCGTCGCGCGCGGGCGGTAGGTAGCGGCGCGGCAGGGCCGGCTGGGCGGATGCGCGGCGGGGCCGGGCCGGGCCGGGCTGGGCGACCGCGCTCGGGGCTCGGGGCCCCGTGCTCCCTGCCGTCCCCGCCGGGGTTCGGGAGCTCTGGAGCGACGGCGTCCCCTCCCTCGGCTCCCGCCCCCTCCGGGCCCGGCGGGCTCCCGGGCACAGCGCACTTTGCCAATGGGCCTGACTTCAATTTTTTTTTTTTTTTTTTTTAAAACAACCCTTTCTTTCACCAATTAGGGGTGCGGGACAATTGGAGGACCGGAGCCTCCCCTGGGCTCCCCCTCCCAGGCCACCCCACCCCCTGTGGATGGGTTTGCACTCTCGAGACGCTGGTCTTTTAATTTCTTTCGAGCTACTTTGCAGGGCAAGGGGGGGGGGGGGAGTGCTGTGAGTGTGTGCGAGCGAGCGAGTGTGTGCGTGTGAGGGGGTGGGGTGGAGGGTGGGGGGAAAGTTGAGACCGGTTCGTGCAGTAGTTTCTCTTTTCTCTGTGATCCATTCATTTCTCGCTCTACCTCCTGTTGCATAAATTGATGCGCTGAAGAGCGGCTACCCCCCTTCTTTCCAGGATTTGGTTTTATAGTGGATGTTACTAGTTTGATCGTGTCTTTGGAAATACAATATCGCTATTTTTTTTTTTTTTTTTGCTATTGCTGCCTATTCCATTAAAAAAAAAAAAAAACAAAACCAAAACAAAACCCAACAAGTCTCCCATTCCTCCCTCCTTTCTACCTTAATCCCATCCGCTCCTGTTTCCCCCCCACCCCACCCCTCCAACCCCCCCAGTCTCCAAAAATCCGATTGTGTTTTCTTCAAGGATTGGGACTGGATTTTCTGATTGCGGTTATTTCCATGTTTCTAGGTTTGTGTGATTTTGCTAAAATGCATCACCAACAGCGAATGGCTGCCTTAGGGACGGACAAAGAGCTGAGTGATTTACTGGATTTCAGTGCGGTAAGAAAGAACGGTGGAAACTAACAACAGCTGTGGAAAAAAAAAAAAAAACAACCCTCCCCCAACACTTCAGATAGAAACCCATAGTAATGTGAAAGACGGGGGTAATTTTTAATTGGCTGAACCCTTGGAAAATGTGAAGGTCCTTTCCTTTTGACAAGCTTTTTTTTTTTTTTTTTTTTTTTTTTTTACTAATTTTGGGATGTGGAAGACTCGAGTTTTTTTTTTTTTTTTTAAGGAGTCTAATGACTTGCCTTGATTTCTTTACCTACCAATTTCTCCAAATAATGGAATCTCACTCCAGAAGAAAGGAAAATCAGAAACCCCTTAAAACTGTAAAGTCCATGGAAAACTTGGCCACATCTGAACACAGAGTGAACTGCTAACTTTGTATACCACTCTACATCTTATTTATTTATTTACTTTAGAAATGAGTAAATAGAAATAGAAGAGCTAATTGCTGTAAAGTTGAGGCTGATGGTACTGTGTTGTGTTGGAAGGACCCAAGGTCCTCCTGACTTCCTGGTTGCCTCTTTTTTGGGGGGTGGGGGGGGGAGTCTGGAAACTCCTAAGCATTAATAGTGAATACATTCTTTAGAGTGTCTTGGACTATTTTGGTAAATTACAGTCTTGAAATCAGCACTAAGAGGAACTTACACACTTGTGGAGTTTTACTATTGTACTCCCCAGGTCCTTCTCCATCCCCTCTTCTTCCTAGTTCCAAACATGCCAGGGGCATGGATTCAGTTTTAATGCCAGATGAGTTTGGTGTAAGATGCATTTGTAAAACAAAAGCAAAAGAATCCACAAAACGTACAAATAAAATCCAAACCACCTTCCAAGTGGGGCCCTCTCCTGCTGCTCCTGCCGCCTGCCGCCACTGCCGCCGCTGCCGCCGCCGCCGCTGCTGCTGCTGCTGCTGCTGCTGCTGCTGGCTGCCACTGGCTGCCACCGCTGCTGGCTGCCACCGCTGCTCCTCTTATAGACCCTGTGGAGAAATGGCTCTCGGAAGTTTTGCCAGGAAGCATAGCCCGTAGGCAGCTTTGCAGCCCCCTTTCTGCTTGTTACACTTTCTCCATTCCATCTTTTGCTTTTTGCAGGCTCTGATTCAAGGAAGGTGTGCAAAATGCACTAGATACCAGGAAAAGACGAAAACCAATTAGGGCTGAAATAAATGCTGGAGAGAGAGGGAGTGAAAGAGAGTGAGAATGAGAGAGGGGAGAGAGAGGAGAGAGAGAGAGAGAGAGAGAGAGAGAGAGAGAGAGAGAGAGAGAGAGAGAGAGAGAGAGAGAGAGAGAGAGAGACTTGCCTACATTGCTCTCATGTTTGAGCTGAAGTGAGAGTCTATTGCAGGTGGCATTTTTATTTTTATCTGGGTTCACGTATGACAGACAAGTCCTGTACAGGATGGAAATGGACATCGCCACGTTTATGTCCAAGGTTTTCAGTATAAAACAAACAACTTCTTTCTCCTTTGTCAAACTAGTGTTTTCTAGAAGAGCTGCTGTCCCCAGTCTATGTCTTGATAATGCCATGGGGACTGTGTTTTAGATTGTAGAAGGACTGTCTAGTAATCTAAGTCACCCGAGGAGGAAGACAGAACTGTGGTAATGGAGGGGGGGAGGAGGTTGGGATGAGGTGCCTGGTTTAGCTTTAAGTTGGATGGCGGTGGCGATACGTTTTACTAAATAAAACCTTAGGATTAACTCCAAGTTATTTATCGAGAGTGTGATAGATCGTTGATGAACTCTGAAGCCACGGATGCCTTCTTTTCAACTGTGCTATCTCTTTGTTTCTTGTAGATGTTTTCGCCTCCTGTAAGCAGTGGGAAAAATGGACCAACTTCTTTGGCGAGTGGACATTTTACTGGCTCAAGTATGTGAATTCTTTTCTTGGTGTGAAGTTCAATGTTCTTACTTGTTTATTTACTCTTTGTGTCTTTTTGGCCCTGTTCAAGTGTTCTGAAAGGAGTCATTGAGTTGTAGCCTATGATGATGTGGTTATCTCATTTTCTATGAGCAGCAAACTTTCACAGAATGTTGCCTTTCGCAATTAAAGTGAGACCTGTTTCTACACCAAGAAAACCATACCAGAATTCCATCACTTAATTTAAAAGTGATTTTTAAAAATATGGTTGTAATTAAACATGTGAACATAAGACTAATGTTAGTAACGTGAAGGCAAACCCATGTTGCCTATTTTAAAATAGAGAGGAAAAAAATCTAACTTTCATAAAAGGGGAAATAATACCAGTTATTAGGTTCTGTATACGATGAACCGTTTTAAAGAGAGGGACACTTAATTTTTCAGACAGGTCTGTAAATAGCCTCCTGCTAGTCTGAGAGGCTAAGTAGAAATTCATTTATCTTTAAAATACCTTGTGGATGCTTGAGCTGTTTGGTGTCCCCTCCCTTATCATTGACTTAGGCAATGAATTTAATATTGCAGATTGGAAGAGTCTCAGCATTTTATACAGGAGAATTCTTTGGATGATGTTCCCACAAAAAGCCAGCGGTACTCACAAAGGAATCTGTGTGCACAGTGATTATCTGGCATCTGAGGAGGAATTTTTAGTATAGGACTCTTTGAGTGTCTCTTATGAAAAGTGGGAGCTGAAAATGTGAGATTTTTGTAAAATGTGTTTTTTTTTTTTTTTGGCCCACCAGTTTTAAGTAAGGATTCAATGCATTGTGCCTGCTACCCTTTAGGTCCAGGGTTTAAACCCATTGATGCTTGTTAAGTGGCTACAGGATTTTAGAGTTCTGGCCATGATATAGAACTGCCCACGAGTCAGTACTGCTCTTAAGTCAGGCTGGTCAATGTTGACATCTTCTAGCTGTGAGATGTCAGTGTGTGCTTGTCTGTCAGCTGTGGATATAATTTTTATATCTTTTTATCTGGTGTAGTAACAACCAAAGAAATCTTGTTTACCTGATTTGTATAATTTTATAAAATTAATGTCTTTTTAAAACTTACTGGTTTCTAAGTGAGTTACTTCTCCTGGCTCCCATAAGTTTAGGGGATTTTTTTTTTCTCTTTAATATGATTTACAAATTATATGATGCCTCCTGTAGTTTTACCTTAGCATTTTTAGGGTCTTCTTTGATGAAAAGTACTAATGACACTATATTTGCTTTACTGTTTGAATCCTGTGACTGGTTCCATTTTTTAAAAAAATGGTGTTAGTGTTACATCTTACAATTTCTGCATAGTATTCTCTGTATAACTTTCAAGACAGAAAATATTAATATGAATGCTTGAAGTAAAGATGAAGACAAATGTCTCCTGTAGTCAAGTTAGTGTTTCCTGTAGACATCATCAAAATACTAACTTTATGTCTGGCAGTAATTTCCTTCATGTTTTACTTAAGAAATGTGTGTGTAGTTGAAATCTGGCTAAAAGTAGATGTCAGGCAGGCCCAGAGATCGACTACTTTCAAAGTTAGTGTAAAATACTGTTTCCACTGTTGCAAAGATGGACACATTTGGAATAACTTAATGTATTACTTTAGATATGATTTAATATATTAGAATGAATTACAAGTATGAACTATGTGAAATTTAAAAAGACAGTTTTATTCAGCTCATGTCCTATGTTCATGTTCAGTTAAAGTCCTTGCTGAAGTGTTGAAGTGTTTGTAGACAGTATAGGATGGATGAATTGAATATGTACTAATTCATTTTGGTAAGTGATCATACATCAAAACTTTTGACTGTTCAGACAATGGTGTGTGTGTGTGTGTGTGTGTGTGTGTGTGTGTGTGTGTGTGTGTGTGTTTATGTATACATAATCCCAGAAGGAGACTTCATCCTTGCTGAACTGTTAGGATATTTATAATGAATATTCAGAGATTATCTTCAAGGTGTTGAACTTTAAAGCTACCTGGCACCAGTGGTGTGGTTTTCAGGACCAGGTGTTTACCTTGTAAGGATAGAAAGTGTAGGGCTCTTTTATCCTGCCTGCCTGATTGAAAATGCAGGGCATTCATTGTGAGCAGGAGGATGGTGGCTGGATACAGAGGCTGCAGAACGCAGTCCACATCTATTAAGGCATATCAGAACACATGGCTGTTAGTTAGGAACAAGGCTTATATTTCTACACAGTAAGAGACATGCATCTCTTTTAAAGCATCATTTTAAGAAAAAGTATGAAGACTGCACTTTGCTCTTTAACTGGAAGAAGGAATTAGAAAACTTTGGATAGAGGAGTTATTTTCTGAAGTTACTTCAAGTTCATATTTCTTGTCCTGAGTGGACTGAGGTATGGCTTTGAAACTTGGATTCAGGAAAAAGAGAGCTGGACTCTAAGTAAATGATTCCAATTTGAAAAATCAGTGCTGTTTGTTGGTTGGTTTGTTTGTTTTAATGAGGTCTGGTAATATTTCATTCTTCAAGTTCCCCATAGCTGTTGATTCTATCAATACATGATATTCAGTGTGAGAATGTGAAGAGTGTGGCCGGAGTCTCTTTAATCTTGTATTCCACAAACATGGCTTTTCCTACCACCTTAAGAAATGGTGAGGTTGCTAGGGGGAATGGAATGTAACCTGAGCTCCAGCCTGACATTCCCAGGGAGCATTTTTCACATGAAAGGCTTTTGTCAACCCAGGAAAGGACCAGCAGTTTTTTGTTTGATGTTTGCAGGTGTTCCGCAGAATGCAGTAAAACTGTTCAGCCAGGATGGACCAGAGCTACCATGACCTTAACTGGTGGCTCTGGGATTATGTTTAAGGTGTAGCTCTAACCTATATGGTAATGTATACAGAGCAATCTGATATCTGTTACATTATTGATCTTAAAATGAACTGAAAGCATCCACATGCCTGCATGCTTGGAAAATTGTTCTCGTTAAAGAAAAAAAAAAAAAAAAAAAGGATGCCTGGGTCACCAAAAGAAAGCATGTCTCTGTTAGGGTGAGTAGAGGCTTAATTTTCTGACATAACAAATGTGCAGTTTATTTGATTATGTTTGAGGCTTTGGGGAACAAAAGGTAAACATACTAGAGTTTGGCATCATTAAAAAATCATTTTAAAGTTGACCTACTAAAAAGATAATATACTGAACAACTTGTTAGGTCAGCCCTCCTGGCATCTGTTAGTACATGTGAACAGTGAGTCTGTGAACGATCCTGCATCTTGCTCCTTTAGTTTAAAAGTGGAGGGTTCTTCCCCCTGTATTCTTAGTTCTTAGGTGTTTGGCAGTTGGTAAAGACTGCCAAGTACTCCAGTGTTAAAACAATTAAGAGGAATGTCAAAGCACATCACGTCTCTCTCCTGAGCCAGTTTTGGAAAGGGGGAAACAGTTCTTGGCTTTCATGTAAGTTAGCTCACCTATGTCCCCATGATACCAAAATGATATGTCAATTGAGTCAAGTCCCTGAGGGTGGAAAAACTCATCAACTTCAATGGGCACTTTTGTATGATAGAGGGAAAAAAAAAAAGAATTCAAGGGGCCAGCATCCCGTGTTCATTTCTCCCTGTGCCAGTGTGAATTCGTTAGATGGTGTGGAAAGGAAATTAGTTTTTCTTGAAGGTGTCTGTGGAGATGTTCCCTGCTTTCCTTCCTGTGTGTGCATGTGTGCATGTGTGCATGTGTGCATGTGTGCATGTGTGTATGTGTCTTCTATACATCCTAGTCTGCTCCAGTCCATGGTGGTTGTAAAAGTTTTTGCACAGACTGAGAGCTGTTTAATAGATTTTGAAAACGTCCAGTAGCATCAAACACGCTGTATTAGACTCCCAGTATTTTGGAGCCAGCCCTTGAGAAACACAGGACCTGGAGCCTCTAAGACACAGCTGCGGGACTCAGGAGCCCAAGTGAGGAGCTTCGGTGCTGTCCTTTGTTAGTATTGACAAGAAGCTTTGATTTGCTGTCTGTGGTCCTGCAGACCCTTGGTTGGAAATCACGTTGGACTCACCACTGTTTTTCTGTCCTTTCTCAGACATAATGGGGTTTAAGATGGGTGTGCTGTGTGCCCTGGAAGTGCTGGCCTATGCTCACGTGCCCTGTGAACACTTTGCTTAGGTGTGGAACTGTTTGAGATGATTGATTGTTTTCTCCTGTCTGTCCCCCGCCCCATTCCTTTGGGAGTGCTGGGGGCAGAATCCGTGTGAGCTGGAGTCGGAGTGCTACTCCTGTGCAGGTGCCAGGCTCTCTGCTGTGTGTTTATTTTAGTTTTAATCCTCTCAAGAACTCAAGTAAATGCAAACATTGCCATTCCCAATTCATAGATGAAGAAACTGAGGCAAAGAGGTTTTCAACAAGTTGATCTCAAGGCAGGTAGTCATGAAATTAGGTTTACATTCAGGCCTAGTCAAGTCCTTGTAGTCCTTCTTCACACCCATCTATACACAGATAGGATAGGCACACATGCACATGGCCCCCACAAGCCCACACAAAGGCATCAAGAACCAGACAGCTCATATTTTTCAAGATTATATAGCTGTGAAATATAATACTGAGGCCTGAATGAAATGCTATGTATGATCTTTAGAGTAGAAAGCATTTTTTTAAAAAAAAAATATTTAAGGTAATGCTACAAACCATACCCACTGTTATTCCTGCCGCAGTATCCAGATTGTTACCTTTGTAAATTATGATGGATTTCAATGTGAGTTAGTTTATCATTCTCGAATTATCACATTATTTTTACAGAGAAAATGTAGCAGGTATTTTAAAAGTTGTGCTTTCTTTCTATGGGAAATCAGCAGCTATGTGGGCCCCAGTAAAGGTGTTTTCAATTTTTTGTGTGTGTGTAAATAATCAGACCTGAAATTGCAGTAACCCAGTGTGCCCTATTAATATTTGAACAAATAAGGCCCTCTTATATTTAAATATAAAAAACATGCAGTTCATTATTAGGTCTTTGGAGTGGAA